GAATTACTTCTAGACAGGAAACTTCAACAGTAATTCTGAACGCGCACAAGGACTGTCGCTGTATTTCTCTTCCCTTAAAAAAATCCTCTATACAACCTTTAAATTTTGGGCTTGAAATTTTGGGGTCATGCTCACTTTTTAGGAAACCTTCATTTATAAGCATTTTTGAGAGACCATAACTTCATAAAAAATAGAGTTATGAAGCTGAACATTTGTATTATTGTAGATTCTTGATCATAGATTCTGAATCTGTTGTCAAATGAAATGAAGGAAGTTAACAGTAGATGTTTTTATTACTTTAAACTAATCAGAATATGACAAAGTTTCTCTGGTAAAAATTGTATCAACATCTAACTGTGTCCATATATTTTGTGGCTCTTAAACACCAGGGGTGTTTTCAAACTAAAATTACATTTTTGTTGTCCGGTGGGCCGTATCACCAAAACGACCGACGTTTGAACACCACAGAGAACGTGCTGTTACCACAGAAAATTAATTTAATAGAAAATATAATTAAAATATTCTAGTAGAAAATCAGCCGAGGGCCAGATTTAAGGTCTTGGACGGCCGGATCTGGCCCCCGGGCCGCATGTTTGACACCTGTGCTCTACACCGTCCACATGAAAGCTCAGAAAAGTGTGAGATTGTTGTCAGAAATGGTCATTCTCTCAAATATTCAGGTTCAACAGTTAGTTTGTAAATATCTGCTTGGAGTAAATAGATCTTGGACATCAAAAATAAAAAATAAAAAAATTGAGAAGCAACCAAATGTGAGTTTTGGGGGCCCACAACGCCTCCCTTAATAAAGATACTCAATATTTCACAACAGATTCAGAATCTATGGTGAAAAAATGTGTAATAATACAAATGTTCAGCTTTCTGGCTCTATTTTTTTATGAAGCTATGGTCTCTCAAAAACGCTTATACACCCAATATTTCACTGGGCTGTAACTCAGGAACGACTCAAGGGATTGAGCTAAACGTTCAGTTCTGGCTTCCTAATTAATAAGACAAATATTCAATCCACCATAATTCAAATAAATAGAGATATGCATGTCTCAAGAACAATGGGGAAAAACAGACAATAAATATATTAAAAAATAAAACAAATTACACAGAAACGGTGCATTATAATGAAGTCCCCAAACTCAAGTTCACCTGGGGCCCCCAAATCGCCAACTCCGCCACTGAGGAGAACACGTACGAGCTGTTAATCCTCCAACATCAGCATGATCTCATCGATTTGTCACTGTAAAAGTTTGAGCCAGTAGAGCCAGGAGAAGAAGAGATCAACAGAGGAGAAGGAACTGGGCGAGACCATGGATCGTGTTTGTCGAAGCTGCCGTGCGTCGTGTTAGACTCGTTGGGCGTAAGTTGTGGACCCGGGGTGAACATAGTGCTGCAGTAAAGTGACCCTCCCATAGGATTTTGACTCCCCTTACTTTTTTCTTCAGTAGTTACTTATCTGATCATTATTTCTCATGTCATTTACTTTAAGGCAGGGCTGTCAAACATGCGGCCCGGGGACCAGATCCGGACCTCCAAGACCTTTAATCTGACCCTCGGCTGATTTTCTACTAAAATATTTTAATTATATTTTCTATTAAAATCTTGTTAATTTTCTGTGGTGTTTATCACAGCAGCGTCTCCAGCGTCTCTGTACGTGGCCCCTCCCACCAGAGCAGCACAAATGAAGACTTGTCTCTTTCCAAACGCTCTTAAAGGACGATCGTTTTGACTGTTGACCGTGACACCCTCATCAGAAAAATGTCCAACATGAGAAAAGTGGAGCCAAGTGCAGGATTCAGGTTATTCATAATATTATCATATTTTGTTAAAGAACAAAATCATCAATTAAAAAAAAATCTGTAATAGATTTGTGTTTCTCTGCTTAACTTATTGTTATTTTGGGGGTTTATATGCCTTTTTTATTTCCCGGCCCCTTTGGGATCAAAGTCGGCCGGATACGGCCCCTGGACCAAAATAAGTTTGACACCCCTGCTTTAAGGTATTTTAAGGAATATGTTATGAGGTTCCTTTTACAGACCAAGAGTTTTGTTTTCATACCTGACAGTTTCGACTGCTCACTTGCGCTCTTCTTCAGAGTCACGTGATGTTTCTGTGACATGTCGTTCATCTGATTTAAACAGGTTTTTGTCTTCCTACTGATGGAGGCAGGACGACAGCGCCACCTGCTCGCCCACGAGTCTGTGAGCCGAACCTCGAAAGAATCGGCCATGAAAAGATCCTCGCGAACGTTAGAAAGATCCGCTCGCAATTAATTCTAGAAGACATAGTTGTGGATAAGCAAGACAATAAAGAAAACATCGGTCGTACGACGAGTGACATGTTTATATGTGTTGGAAGATACAGTTTCTACTGCCACTCACACTGCAGATGTTTTCTTTTTACATTTTAGTTCAGTAAATGTGCTTCTCTCATTAAATAAACTATGAAACAAGTTAAATAACAAATACCTTGATGAAAGTGACGCGAGTGTGTCTTGATGGTACCACTGGAAATCTCTTCGCGATTTATGTTCTCTAGACATAATCCGCGTCTTTTTTTTCGATAATTCCCTTGTTTGATCCTGATGAGTCATTTCCAGTGGAACAGTGAAGAAACAAATCATTTTATCCCTTTCAGAGCGTCTAGAACAACCAAATACACAACAAAACCTGCCCATGTTTCTCTGATGTTACTGAAGTCAGTGACATAGTGTTGCCCGGTGTCATGGCGGCGTAGGTACCGTTGCCATGGGGTCACGTGACACGCTAAGCATTAGTAGTATAAGTTATCAAAACATTCTATATAAGTTACTAATACACCCAAAATTGAAAAAAAAACACACAAAAAAAAACATGGATAGTTCAGCGTACGCCAGAGTTTTAGGGAAATTCTGGTACGTCGGCATAAATCGTAAAGGTGTGTTTGATGTGGTTTAGTGTAAAAAAAGGTCCCAGAGTAAAGCTTTAAGTGTGTGTGTGGTGCAGCGGGGTCGGTCCGGGGTCATGTTTAGTGCGCGGGGTTTCTCCAGGTTCATGCCCCCCCACTGAGTTTATGTCCCGAACTAAAACAAGACTCGTAAACGGTAAATTTACCCAAGAATTACCCAAGACAAATGACTCTGACAAATGACAAATGCTCCGGCCGCACCGGGTCTAAGATCACAGCGCAACATTCTGCTGGTCTGATGTTCAGGACTCAAACCGGGACTAAAACCAGACTAAACCAGGACTAAATCAGGTCTAAAACAGGACTAAAAAATGACTAAACTAAGACTAAACAAGGACTACATCAGCTCTAAACCAGGTCTAAAACCAGGACCAAAACAGGACTAAACCAGGATTAAATCAGGTCTAAATCAGGATGAAACTAAGACTAAACCAGGACTAAACCAAGACTAAATCAGGACTACATCAGGTCTAAACCAGGTCTAAAACAGGGCTAAACCAGGACTACATTAGGTGTAAGTCAAGACTAAAACAGGACTAAAAAAGGACTAAACTAAGACTAAACAAGGGCTAAATCAAGTCTAAAACAGAACAAAACTAATACTAAACCAGGACTACATCAGGTCTCCACCAGAACTAAACCAGGACTAAACTAAAATCAAACCGGGACTACATCAAGGTCTAAAACCAGGACCAAAACAGGACTAAACCAGGATTAAATCAGGTCTAAACCAGGATGAAACTAAGACTAAACCAGGACTAAACCAAGACTAAATCAGGACTACATCAGGTCTAAACCAGGTCTAAAACAGGACTAAACCAGGACTACATTAGGTGTAAGTCAAGACTAAAACAGGACTAAAAAAGGACTAAACTAAGACTAAACAAGGGCTAAATCAAGTCTAAAACGGAACAAAACTAAGACTAAACCAGGACTACATCAGGTCTCAACCAGAACTAAACCAGGACTAAACTAAAATCAAACCGGGACTACATCAAGGTCTAAAACCAGGACCAAAACAGGACTAAACCAGGATTAAATCAGGTCTAAACCAGGATGAAACTAAGATTAAACCAGGACTAAACCAAGACTAAATCAGGACTACATCAGGTCTAAACCAGGTCTAAAGCAGGACTAAACCAGGACTACATTAGGTGTAAGTCAAGACTAAAACAGGACTAAACAAAGACTAAACCTGGACCACATCAGGTCCAAGTCAGGACTAAAACAGGACTAAAATAGAACTAAACTAAGACTAAACCAGGACGAAAACAGGGCTAAACTAAGACTAAACTGGCAAGTCCAAGTCAAGTCTCAAGTCAAAAACCGGCAAATTCAAAACAAGTCCCAAGTCAGTGATGTTCAAGTCCAGGTCGAGTCCCAGTTCTTTGGTCATTTTCCCAAGTGAAGTCTCAAGTCCTTAAATTGGTGACTCAAGTCTGATTTGAGTCCAAGTCATGACTTTGAAAGTCCCCACCTCTGCATTTGAAACCAGCAAAAGCAAAATAAAACTTGTTGTAAATGTAAAGATTTAAAGTCGCACTGTGTAACTTTTTCCACATTTTGACATTAGGGTTCGGCATTATAAGTACTTTTTACTTCAGTCTAAATGTTTTCAGTCATGATCCATGGGGTTGTAAACTACTACTACTACTACTATTACTACTACTACTACTACTACTACTACTACTACTACTATTACTACTACTCAAACTACTACTACTTCTACTACATGAAACATCTCTTCTTTATATTTATTCAGTTACAGGTGGTTTTAAGGCTCAAAAATACTTAGAAAAACAGACATTCTGCTGTGAGCGCGGTCGCCTCTCCACAGATCTGACCTGTAACTTGGTCTGGTTTGGTCTCCATGGAGATAGAAAGGTTTAAAGCCATACTGTGTAACATTCAAGACAAAGCAAAAACATCTCCATGAAGAAAAGTGTGTTTGACGGACACGGAGCAGCTTTAAGGTTTCAGGGCCTTTTTCTTTGGCTCATCGGCACAAAGTCAGTCTGTTTTCTGAAGAGTGTGCACGTGCTTAC